TACTATATTTGTGCAAAAATGGTCGCTACCAGACTCAGTGATCGCAACGAAAATTATTATTTTCATCTTTTTACTGATTAATGCTGAATTTATTAAATCATTGTGAACGTGTTAGTTATAGGTATAAATAATGACCAACTGATTATTCCTTGCTGACCAGACTTTTCCTCTAAAGGCAGGACACATAGAGATGTCTTTGATTAAACCTCTGTAATTCCCAAAAGGTTTCTTTTCTGTAAAATGCATTAAAAAAAATCAGGCAAGGCATAATACCTTTCTCGTTTCTATATTCCATTTGCTTTTTTCAACACCACAGCAGCTGTGGTGTTGGCTTTCTTTTGAAACTAAACTTTTACCAAAAACAGGACATGCAAACAGAACTGAGGATGAAAAGAGGAAATTGTTGCTGGGTATCCGGGGTCAAAAGTGAGTCTATCTGCACGACGGCTGAACTTTGATCCAAACTAGTTAAAAAAACATCTGTAATTCCACTGGATTTATGTCTCTGGCTGCGGTTTGAGGGTCATTAATGTTTCTATAGTTTCTAGTACTGTTGCACCGATACCGATACCAGTATCGGGCAGGGCCCCGATCTAGCACTAAAATGGTGGTATCGGTATCGTGGAGTACCAACAAATAGGGCACCGATATCATTTTTAGAGCCAAAAGCTTATTCAACTATTGTCACGCATTCCAGGTAGGCAATAAAACGTTCTACTGGATTCACTTTGTTTTAGTCTTTTTTTTCCAGCTTCACAAAGGCAGGCAGCAGCTTCAAAAAGCCATGATGGCAATTATTTTACATCCAACTAGTATGCAGTTCTTCATATATAGACACACACACACATACCAATTTAAAACAGATGGTATCGGCCAATATTGCACAGCCAGGTATCGGGGCCAAAAAATGGCATTGGTGCAACACTAGTTTCTAGCCGTGACCCTGGAGGTCTGACTCTGGAGAAGGAAGGTTAGTGGAGTAACAATAAACCTTATTTCCACCCTTGGCTGACAGACAGAACCAAACCACTGGCAGACCCATGATGGTGAGAAAAGAGCACCTAAAACGATCTGATGGAGTATGTCCAACCTCTGGGCCTGAAACTGACCTGAGTCCTCACCTGACCGCCGTACCAGCGAGGTGAACACTTTCCTTCATACACACTGTTGAATGTATTCTCCCCTTATAAACCTCCCCATACTAACTCAGTGTTTTTCAGATGTTAAGTCCAGGACAAAACCTGCAGCTAAACTCTCCATAATGGAAAATGTGACGCCCAGCGGCTCCCCAGGTGACACCAGCCTGATGGGCTACAATTACCTGGCCTTGGTGCTTGGCATCGTCTTGATCCTTGTCATCATCCTGGGGAACATCCTGGTATGTCTGAGCGTGCTCACCGAGCGCTCACTGAAGACCGCCACCAATTACTTCATCATCAGCCTAGCGGTAGCTGACCTGCTGCTGGCTGTGCTCGTGCTGCCTCTCTACGTCTACTCGGAGGTCAGTCAGGTGTTTTATGTGGAACCAGTGGAGGTCTGTCTTTTTTATAAGACGCAGTGACAGTGAATTGATGTGTGTACAGTTCCTAGGAGGAATCTGGACCCTGAGCACCTCCATTTGTGATGCTCTGATGACCATGGATGTGATGCTGTGCACTGCCTCCATCCTAAACCTCTGTGCCATCAGTGTGGATCGGTAAGTCACCATTACCTTCATACAACCTTTGTCTATCCGCCGATTTTCTTTTCTCATCG